TAGGCATCTTTTGAGATTCGATACATGGAATGTATCATGTATAGTGCGAGGGCCCAACTTGCCTCTCTTTCCAAAACGCATAACTCCTTTCCATGGCGAAACCTTTAAGAAAACTTTATCGCCTTTCTTGAATTCTAATGGTCTCCTCCGATTGTCGGCATAGCTTTTCTAACGATCTCTTGCTGCCTTGAGTCAATTTCTGATTGCTACAATCTTATCAGTGGTCTCTTGGATAACGTCAGGTCCCGTTAATTGCTTATTGCCAATTTCGGACCAACACAATGGAGATCTGCACTTGCGCCCATATAAAGCTTCATAAGGCACACATTGTATGCTGGTATGGTAGCTGTTATTGTAAGCGAATTCCACTAATGGAAGATGCGTGTCCCAGCTTCCACCAAAATCTATAACATAGGCTCGTAACATGTCTTCCAGGGTCTAGATTGTTCTTTCGGTTTGTCCATCTGTTTGAGGGTGATACGAAGTGCTTAGGTTCAGACGAGTACCCATTCCTTGTTGAAGCGACTGCCAAAACCTTAACGTGAAACGGCTGTCTCTATCCATTAAAATAGAAGTAGGCACTCCATGCCTAGCGACGATTTCGCTTATATAGATCTGGGCTAACTTCTCCATCTTATAGTCTTCTCGGACTGGCAAGAAATGAGCAAATTTTGTCAATCGATCTATAATCACCCAAATGGCATCATGCCCTTTTCCTGATCAGGGTAACTTAGTTATGAAGTCCATCAATATCTACTCCCATTTCCATTGAGGAATCTCGAGCTGCTGGAGCAGACCTGAAGGTTTCTGGTGCTCGGCCTTAACTATTGCACAAGTTAAACACTTACTTACATACAGTGCAATGTCTTTYTTCATTCCAGGCCACCAGTAATATGATCTTAAATCCTTGTACATTTTGTCTGCTCCCGGGTGTATCGAATATTTTGATCGATGAGCTTCATCCAAAATGGTTGGCCTAAGATTGCTAATCTTAGGTATCCAAACTCTGTTTCCTAAATAATATGCTCCATCACACTTCATCTGAAATTTGGACTCTATGCCATGCAAAATTTCATCCTTCACATTCTCCTCCCTTAGCGCTTCTTTTTGATCCTCCAGAATTTGGGCCTTCAAACTGGTATTCACTAAGATTCCCAAAGCTCGCACCCTTAATGGCTTTATACTTTCCTTCCGGCTCAAAGCATCAGGCACAACATTGGCCTTACCTGGGTGGTATTTGATTTCACAATCATAATCACTAAGCAATTCTACCCATCTTCTTTGCCTCATATTCAACATTTTCTGATTGAGGATGTGTTGAAGGCTTTTATGATCAGTGTAGATGGTGCATTTCGTGCCACAGAGATAGTGCCTCCATATCTTAAGTGCAAATACCACTGTTCCCAACTCAAGGTCGTGCGTGGTATAATTCTTTTCATGCACTTTCAGTTGTCTCGAGGCATAGGCAATGACTTTATCTTTCTGCATCAATACGCAACCTAACCCTTGATGCGAAGCATCACAGAAGACTATGAAGTTTTCTGAACCCTCAGGTAGAGATAAGATTGGTGCATTGCACAGCTTCTGCTTGAGAGTTTCGAAGGCTTCCTCTTGTTTCTCACCCAAGGTGAACTTCTTATCCTTTTGGGTTAGAGTAGTGAGCGGCTGTGCAATCTTTGAAAAATTTGCGATGAATCGCCGATAATATCCTGCTAACCCAAGAAACTGGCGGATCTCTGTAGGGGTTCTTGGGGCTTCCCAATTTCTAATGGCCTCAATTTTGGCAGGATCCACCTGAATTCCTCTCTTATTTATTGTATGGCCCAGAAATTGTACTTCATGCAACCAGAATTCACACTTGGAAAATTT